TCAAAGGGGTCTAGTAGCTTCCGGAAAGGTCGGTTCGGCCTTTCACCGCCGCCTGTACTACTACCGCTGCTACTACTATTACTACTACTACTGCTACTACTACTACTACTACTACTACTACTACTACTACTACCCTAATACTACTACTAATAATACGTACTACTACCCATACTGCCACTCCTACTACTGCGACTAGTACTACTGCGACGAGTACTACTGCTACTACTCCTACTTATACAGTCATGGCTATTAATTTATTGCTGTTTAGCACACTTATTAGTGTGGTCATCGCTGTAGTTTGTGCTGTTTAGCACACTTATTAGTGTGGTCATCGCTGTAGTTCGTGCCACGGCTGCGGATGGCACGAACCCTGCTGCTAGTGTACGTAGCAGTCGTTGACACAGTTGTTGCTACACTGCCCTTGCTATCTATATTTCCATCGCTGCATGTCAGGTGTTGTTGTTCCGCACTGGTTCATTGCTGTGCGTGTGCACATCGAGTCTTGTATCCAGGACGGGTATGTCATCTATCCCGGCAAGCAGTTCCGCGGCTTCCTCTCTGACGGATCGACAGCACAGACGGCATTCGTCCCTTGCCCAGTCTTGGATGCGTTGCACCGTCTCTTGTGCATGCTGTTGTGTGTGAGGTCAAGGGCATGCTCCTCTTGAACCGCGCTGTTGCTGGAATCCTCATGCCCGACGACTGCGTGAAGCTGCGGTCATCCAACGAGGCCGAGCTCTCGCTCGGTTTCGATCTGGGCACCTCCTCCGGAAGGTGTATGCGCAAACCAGGCATCCGGTCGTGGCACGTGCTTATAAAAGGTAAGCCGGTTGGATGCACCTGCGACCCGAATTCGAAGGACTATCACCGACGCTGGCGTGTGTTCTCTTACAGCGCAGCGCCAGCGTCGCCGACCGGGGTCGAAGGGGGAGTTGCTGGCCCAGTGGGCAACTTCATTATATGTCTGTCACAATGCTTGAATGGCTATGCGCAGCCTGTGAACATTTCAATCGTGCATGCCGACCACTGTGGGCTGTCTGAAAGCTTCAATCTGCACGAAGCACAAACACTCATACGCATACTTGCATAGACTTTGCCGAAATCACAAGCTTTCAGTCATCAGTCATCAGCCATCGCCGTGCTTCTGCAAGCTACCAGTGACATGGGATGGGTGGCTCTGGGCTGTCTGAGTCTCGGCAAGCTCGTGGGCGATGACACGGGCGGCTTCCTCGATCGCGGGCTCCGCACACATGGTGACCTCCTGGGACGGGGGCTCCTTGGCAGGTTTGTGGGCGATGACGTCGGGCTTTTTGACGGCGGGCTTCGTGTCCATGCTGACCTCCTGGGTTACGGTTGGGCTGTGGGGCTGGGCTGGGGCTGGGCTGTGGGGCTTGGCTGGGCTGGGCTGTGGGGTTGGGCTGGGCTGGCCTGTGGGGCTGGCTGGGCTGGGCTGGGCTGCTGGGCTTGAAACGGAAATTGTTTTAGGAGAAAATGGAAAGGTTGCATCCAGACCGAAAAGAAATAGGTTTCCGGATGACCAACAGCAACAAGCAATTTATCTTTATTTCTTTCTTGAGGGTTTAGGGTTTAAGGGTTTCGGCTTTAGGGGTTTAGGGGTTTAGGGGTTGAGGGTTTGGACACGGTCCCAGGTGCTTGCTATGCAGCCTCCTGCCTGAGGGGGCGGTTTGTGGGCCTGGCCTAAGCCCTACACGACCACCCATAATGCAGGGGCCTTAATAATTAGGATAGGGTTTTGGGGGTTCCTTAGTATAAGTATAATGAAATATACCCCCCAAACCTATTCTAATTGTTAAGGCCCCTACATTACCCCAAACTGTAATCCCAGGATCAATTTGGGTTTCCTGTTTCAACTTGGAAACTTCAAGTATGAGCCCTCGGACAGATCTTCGCAAAGTGCTGCGCCACCGGATGCTGACGATGCTGATGGCAGCTGGGCAGATTTCATAAGGGCATGAATAGTTACCCCTAGTCCCCCGAAGCCCTAAACCACCATAGGCTTGTGGTATTTCGTGGTTGATTAGAACGGCATAGATGCCACAGCCTGCTATCAATCACATTCAACCCAGCACCTTTGTGGTCCTAGCATGATTCGTCTTGTACCGATAGTAATATGAATTTGGTACTATATGAATACTGTCTTGGCATTCGGTTCGTACTGGATGAGTGCATGTTCAGCATTAGATTAGTCCTGCGATCGAACTGAAGGATTCGAGGTTCCACTCTGGTGGCAGCTTGGGGTTTTCTGATTTAACATGAGGGTAGTTCTCTAAACCAGGCTCCCTTACTTGGGGTCCTTTTTATAAGGGTGCCGTACTATACTGGGGCTTGAAAAGGGACTGTAATTTAGAGAACTACCCGTGGATTTTCACAGGGAAGCTTCTTGATGTGCCCAATGATTCAGATGTTCGCCGAACTGTCCTGCTGCTTCAACACCTCTGTCCTTTCTATGGGGAATCCTCAACCCTAAGCCGCCAATTTTAAGCCCTAGATTAAGCCGCCGACATGGATGTACCCAATGATTACGATGTTCGCCGAACTGTCCTGCTGTTTCAACACCTCTGTTCTTTCTATGGGGAATCCTCGCCCCTTAGCCCCAAATTCTAAACATTGGATTAAGTATAAATAGAGTATGCCCTTGGTAGCTGTTCGGCGTCCAAAGCATATACTATACTGTTACTTGGACCCTCTGGGAACCTCGCTTAAGCAACCGATGTGGAGAGGTTTGGGGTTCGAGAAAACCCATTAGCGCCCTGCAGGGCCGGGGCCAAAATCTTGATAAGCCGAAGACCCTCTCTGTACCGTTTAGTGGGGGTAGATGGCTTCAAATAGTAGGTATTTAGGGTCTTATAGTAGGTATTTAAGGGCCTAATAGTGGGTATTTGGGGCCTGGCGGTAGGTATTGAGACTTGAGAGAAGGTAGATGCAAGGTCGGGCGAGACTTCGAATTTGTTCTAAGGTTTGGTCTTTGGAAGCTTAGGGTTTAGGGTTTAGGGAGCATCTTGTTTTGAACCCCGGCAGCTAATTCACTTATCCCTACACGACACGCAGCAAGATGTGTAAGTTCCATACCTAGGGGTCCTTTTTGCTACCGTTATGGAATTAGGTACCCGAGTCCACGGTGGTAGTATATATGCCCCGGTGGATATCCATGCGTAACCCCAAGCCCTACAGTCCAAGGTCTAGCCACGCCTGATCTCGTCAGATCCATACCCCCAACCGCCGAATCCACATGGGAATCCCTAAAGCTAAGGTCCTGCCTTTGAAGAGGCCACATCGGCTAAGAGGGTTTTCGGCTTAAGGTTCAGGGTTTAGGGTTGCGCGGTCGATGGTGAGGTTCCGGAACAGCAATCACTGATGTGGGTTGTGGGCTCAGGGGGTGTATGATGTATAGAACAGAGAGCCTATGAGGCAATAAGATCCGTTTCGGCAAACCCTACAGCCTTTAAGCCCGAACAAATCCAGGGACTGCCATGTATGTGTTTCCGGAACTGGGTATTGTATCGGATTCGAGAGAAGCCGCCTGGTTCAATTCACTGGCTTGCGCATTTGAGAGCTGAAATTAGTTCCTAAACCCTAGACCCTAAACCTTAAAGCCCCGAACCCCTAAACCCTAAACCCTCAAAGACAAAAAGCCGAACCCCTAAAGGCTAAACCCTTAAAAACAAAAAACAGAACCTTAAACCCCGAACCCCTAAACCCTAAACCCTAAACCCTAAACCCCGAACCCCTAAAGCCTTAAACCATCGAATCTGTTTCGGGTGTGGGCGCTGCAGAAATCTCGAAGCCTCTCAGCTCCGGGGCCTTTAGGGTTTAGGGTTTAGGGTTTAGGGTTTAGGGTTTGGGGGTTAGGGCTTTAGGGTTTAGGGCTTAGGGTTTAGGGTGTAGGATTCAGGTTTAGGGTTTATGGCCGGTGAAAGCGTCGATGAATTATACCGAAAAGCCTAGAAACTATGAACCCGCGAGAAAACAAGCTCTACAAGCCCACTACAAAAGCACTCTTAAGCTGTACAGTGCAATAGAAATGAGGCTCAAGTCTAAGATCCTGCTTATAAGGACAACCCTGAGCCCTAAAGCCCGAAACCCGAAAATCCTAAACCCTAAACCCTGAACCCTAAAACCCGAAGCCCGAAGCCCTAAACCCTAAACCGTTTTTGAAGCTCCCAGAGCGTGCAAGGGAGGGCCTTAGGGTGTCGGCTTCAATGAAGGATCTGAAAACTCGGTTCTTGTTAAGGGGTTTAGTTTAAGCTGCCATAATGGGAATTTAGAGTTTAGGGTTTAGGGGTTTAGGTTAAGCTACCATAATAGGAATTTAGAGTTTAGGGTTTAGGGTTTTGGGTTTAGGGGTTTTGTTCAAGCTACCATAATAGGGTTTCATCGTAAGTAATATGATTTCTTGATTCTGGTATCTTAAACTAAGTCCCTAAGCAAGAGCCCAGAAAATAGTCGACACAATTCAGCACCCGACACGTAGCATTGTGGTAGGATTCACAGTAGGAGTTAGCATCAGGGGGACCCTGGGGATGTAGACCCTCTCGATAAGGTCCGTTTCAAGTGAGCCATAAGAAGGTTAAGAAGGGTCCACTTTAACCCTAGACCCCAAACCCTTTAAGGGGGTCTCCCTAATACTTCCCTAGGATACAGGACCTTGAGGAAGGCCCCAGTCTACAATCCTCTGGGTAGGGAAGTCGTGGTTTGGAACCAAGGCTACAAATGCGGGCTTTGTGGATTGCATATGGGGCTTCAGAAGCTTTGAGATTGAGATTTCAATATTCCTAACTTTAGGGATACGCACCTACCTTATGCAGGGTCTCTCATGAAGAAGGGTCTTCCTTTGTATAAGTTTTCAGAAGGGTTGGCTATTTTCTGAAACTCCCATCCAGGGGCTCACGAAGGGTGTGGGGATTCTAGGGTTTAGGGTTTAGGGTGGGGTTTAGACGATTTAAGATTTTGCTTTGGGGTTTAGGGGGCGTTAGAGTAAGGAGCCTTGTGACAAGGATACTCGGTATGACCACAACGCACAGTGAAGATACGACCAGCAGCACAGGTGATACACCCTAAACCCTAAGACCCTAAGCCTTAAGTCACCGTATCGAGTCACGGATGAATCCAGCGCATGCACCTCCGAGGTCTAGGCATACTCTTGGACACCCTCAAGCGTCAAACCTCATGAGCCCGAAAACCAGAAAGCCCAAACTCACCACAATGAAAAGCACAGGTCTCGTTTTTAGGGTGTTGCGGTTGAGGGTTTAGAGGTTTTGCATTAAAGGTTCACAAGGTTTGGGGTTCTTCTGGTTGGCTCTTAGGACTTTAACTTTTTGGGCTTCGATATGAACTATAATGGTAGGCTAAAAGTTTAACTTTTAGAAGGGGTTCTGACAGGGGCAACGACAGTCGTATAGAACGAAAATAACGGGATAATATACCCTAAACCGCTGTTGTTTAAGGTTTGGCTTGGGCCGAGGAACGAGGATAAGTATGCACAGGCAGAGGTACTGTATGCATGAGCCTCCCGGTACTGCATCAATATTCACAGCAAACAACATAGGCGAGTAATGATCATATTACGGTGATGACGGTTATGAATGACCCTAGAGTCAAAAAACATGTATGGATTTACGTCAGACAAATAACGAAACTGTAACACCCAACCCGTGAAATCCCGAAGCCCCCAAACCACAAAGATACATACCAAAATAACTTGGGGTTCTTCTGGTTGGCTCTTAGGAGTTTAACTTTTTGGGTTTCTATATAAACTATAATAAGGAGGCTAAAAGTTTAACTTTAAGGAGGGGTTCAGAA